ATCCATATCCCAAACATCAAACAACTTAATCCAAACTTAAACCTACAAATTTGAACCATTCATAAGCAAATCCTTGGCCCTTAATCAATTTCCCTAAGCATATCCTTGACCTTTCATCAAGTTCCCTAAGCAAACCCTTGACCTTTCATCAAGTGCCCTAACAAACCTTTGACACTTTATCAAGTGTCTTAATAATACTTTTCCCCTTTGCCAAGTGTCATCTCAAAACTTCTTCCTTCTTCAAGGATTATTAAAATACTTCAAAGTACATAAATACTCTTTTAAAATAAACTTGAAAGAAAAGGATTGTTGGAATATAGGATTCTAGCAAAACCCTTGAAAGATTGGTCTCAAGTCTTGCACATTAAGGTAGCCAATTTTTCCCTTCTTTCATCATTAAAACACTTAATAAATAACTTTTGACCCATAAAGAATTGTTAGAGTCTAGCATTCTAGCACAACTCTTTGAATCATTGATCACTATCAATGTTCATGGTCTACAAACAACTTTCCTAATCAATCTAGAATGGAAGAGACTGTTAGAGTTTAACACTCTAGCATAAACTCTTGGAAAAATTGATCATCATCAAATGTCCACCACTCTTAAAATATATCCAAGCTATATTCAAAATCTCCATTTTCATGGACACGCCTTAATTATCATTAAGAGACAAAAAAAATCTCATAATTATGAGCAAACCTTGATTGTCATCAAGTGTATTTTCTTAAACAAAACCTCAAGACATCTAATAAGGTATAAATACTCTTTTCAAAATGAAAGATGATGTCTTGATAAACTCTAGGGAAATGTTTTGCTTACAACCATTGAGTTGAGATAAGTCGAACGAGTGAGATTTGTAAATCCATTCAGTATGGTGAAAATGTCCACTCCTCATTTGTTTTGGGTAAAAAAAGTTCTTATGTTGATTAATACAATTTAGCTTTCACTAAAATCAACCAACAAACTTTTACCCGAACTATGATTGCTCTGATTCCATCCTTGTAAGGATACGTAGGCACGAGGCTGCGAAGTCTTGGCGAGCATCCAAATGAAAAACCCTTAGGTCCCTTTCTCTTTATATAAAAATAGAAAAAACATTTACCTTCTTTCTCTTTTCCCACTCCATAAATAGAAGATTAGAAACTCACCTTAAGCTAACATACATTCGACCCTAACTAAATGGTTTCCATTGAGTACAACAGACGTGAGAGGTGTTAATACCTTCCCCTTACGTAACCGACTCCCGAACTCAAATATTGGTTGCGGAGACCATATCCTTATGTTTCTTTTAGGGGTTTTATTCGATATTTTCCTTTTTCCTCTATGGGAATAAATAAAGTTCGGTGATGACTCTGTTAAGTCCATTCGTGACCATGCGATTGCGCTTCGCGAGGTCGTTCTTATTTTTTGAGGTACGACACTTATAATCACGATAGCTCGACCATGATGGAAAGTATCATACATACAGTAACACCTTACCTCACAACGGTTGGTCGGGCGCAGTGGTATCCCTTTTTCCAACCGTTGCGATATGAGTTTTCTATAGTAGTGTTTAAAGAGAGTACTTACGTAGAAAGACATTATAATTAGAAAGAGGCTTTGAACAACATAGAGTTTGTTGATTCTTGTAAGACTAAGGTTACTAACTCAAAGTAGTGGTTTTTTTTGGATAGAGTGTCCCCCCCAGATGTATGTGTGATTTCACCGAACTGGTTTACCAATATCTTATGTTCTTTATTGTTTTTCTGCTTCATCAACTTGTGAAAATTAATCTGTCATGTCTCACTTTTAACTGGTTTTTTATTTCTGGTTTACAATGTCTCAGACATCATGTATGACATTTATCCTTAGAAGTTATAATCTATTATAAACCAATAGTTCTTGTTATCCCAAGTATTTGGTCCAAAATCTATTCCCTCTAAGACAAATTTTTCAATTGGTATCATAGCATGCACCTTGTTTTGTTTGTGTGAGCTCTGTGGAGATATTATTTCGTTCAAAATTGAGAACTTCAAAGAAGGAGGAGTTGTTTATCAACCAAATATTTGTTATGGTGCTAATGATATTCCAAAGATTGTTGACATTTATGAAGATTGTGATGTTTAAGCAGAATGAAATTCTGAAGAATGTCTCGGGTTTAATAAGAGATTTAGTAAAGTCATTATCGCAGAGCGAAAAGTACCTGAGCGTAACGAACACTCGAAATACAACAGAGTCGCCACAAAAGTTTATTTATTCCAAAAGAAAATGGAAAATATTGATAAAACCCTATAAATAAAAGAAAGTGGTCGTCGTAACCAAATCGGATTCAGAAATCGATTATGTGAGGGAAAGGTATTAGTACCCCTCACATCTGTTGTACTCAACAGAAACCGTTTAGTTAGTTTTGCGAATAAGTGTTAGCTTTCGTTATTTGATTTCTTTTTTATTATTAAAAATATTTATATAAAATGAAAGAGACTAAAAATAAGTTTTATAGTATGGTGCTTGATAAGATTGTGAGTCTTGCTCCAACGTATCCTCATATGCGATGAGGAATTCAAAGCTACGTAGTTCTTTGCAAGTAAAAGATATTTTTGGAATTTTTATTATAGTTCTTGAGGAGACGTTGCATTTGTGTATTTTAATGGCGCAAATCTCCCATTTTAATTTCGGATATGTGAGGACATACTTCTCGTCGATCCGAAAACCAGATTGAATATTCTCCTGCAATATCCATAACATCGGAGAATTATCAAGTTCGAGTAATGTTCACCCTCGATAGATAATGAATGGAAGATACAGTTCACCATGCTTGAACTGAAGACAGATGATGATTTGAAGGTTATGTGGAGTACCTTTTACCGTTGTTTAACAAAGGGTCCAATTGAAGTGGATATGACGGTTCAAAGACCAGCCGAAGATATTATAAGAATCTTGCAATGTCCTAGACCACCTGTTTTTAATGATATGTAATGTTAAATTTATGTGATGTTTATCTGTGTAATGTTTATTTTAATGTTAATTTATGTTAGTTTTCCATTCTGCCATTATTTCTGTCTGTTTTTGTTTTAAACTAACAAGAGCATATTTCAATTATGCATCTCTGAAATACATCACTGAATTGCTCACAGACTAATGAATTGAGGGAATTTATGAAGATGCATCTCCGAATCAATCTTTGTGCATTCAAAATTGAATATTCAGATTAAATTTTAATAGAATTAAGAGTTTCTCACCATATTCTTCTTAGTTGTGTGTGGAAAAAGTGTGTCCGAAAATTCATCTCCGAATGTTAAGGATATTTTAGTCTTTTTACAATGGTGAGAGAGAATCCCTAAAAATGAAAAAAAAACAATTCCCTAAAATATTTTACACATGTTCATTCTTTAATCTTTATGTATTTAATTATCTTATCTTTTATGTATTTATTTAGTAGTTCAAACACTCATAACTAAGGCAAATTTTTAGATACTAGTGATAAATAGTTGAATGCCAGTATTTTTAGTGGAAATTAATTTAAGATATTAATTTATTTTTAAATAAAATATATTATATAAAAAATAATATGATACTAAATATAATTATTTTATCGGATAATGGTATTGATATTCAACTGAATTCAATAGTGTACCGGAATGTCCGCTTTAAAGTAATCAAAGAATTCACATCAGACAAAGTTTTTTTTTAATATAATCTCTTCTAGAAAATACTAACACTTATATGACTATCTTTTAAATTCAACAACCTTAACGACATTGGTCGAGAGGAAAGTTCTGAACCATTTTAAAACTAGATCAATCGTAAATCATATGTTACACTACCCCACTCTAACAATGATTGTCATCCAAACCATCAAACACCCCAATTTTACATTTAGTATAACGCTTCCTACCCGCTGGCAATGGAAGAGTTCAGTCAACATTGACCAATCTATCTACTGCATGTCTGCGTCCAACATGTATACACCCACGAGTCATGTAGTCCCGCTACATTATGTCGACTGACGAACAACCCTTGTCATTTCACTGCTCTCTATATTGTACCTTCAACCATTCATTAAATTTCAACACCAACTTTAATATTGGCCACTAACAGATTTTATGTAAATTATAGGTGCCATCTACCACCCAAGATGACAAAAAAGAAAATTCTATCAACGTTGGGGTCCATTTTCTTGTTATACCCAAACTCCAAATAATAGTAGCTTGTTTTATTTCTTTTAAAACTTGATGATATTACAAGTAAAGATCTTCTGTAACAGTTAACAGATTCAGATTCAGAAGGTACTAATGATATTACAAGTAAAGACATTATATTACCTTTTTAAAATCATGAAAACTGAAAAGGGAGCAAAAAAACAAAGCCATTTGTCAACTGAACCAAAACGGTAAAAAACAAATAACACTCGCTGACTCTATAGGCTAGTCTTTATTTCTAGCCAAAGAATTTTACACAAGAACCAAAAAATGTAAGGGGTTATACTAGGACTCTCTAACACACTTTTTTCAACATACATTCTTTTATCAATTGAAATGCATATGGCTCACTAATTTTATGTTGTCCTTACATGATTAAGTGGAATCCATTTGAATTTGAACCATCTTGAAAAGAGTATGCTAGAAAGTGTTACTAGCCGTCCCTCAAATGTTAAAGAAAAGTAATGCTATTCGAAAGACATTGATCAGAAAGGAATATAATATACATTCTTGTCTTTTTAAGTCCTGCTCCTGATATATATCCTTTCCTGGAAACTACGTTGATGCTGTGTTTCCATTCCAACCTTTACACTGGCAGCTAGAAAACTGTTCCACTAAGTGAATAGAGTATTATGCACACAAAATCTTCAATCAGTAGCAACCAATCACACAAAATTCGAAATCTATACTTGCGTGATCAGAACTGGGATGGCTTTATCTTGACAAATGAAAACAACTTCAAAAAGCCATAAAACTGGAAGTTGAAACACCAAAGCCATTGAGTTGAAAATAATATAAATCTGATGCAGAGATTCATCCATTTAAGCTTTTGTTCGGCTGTAATTATCTAGAATGCTTACATTGTAGTCAACTGTTATATTGACAAGAGACTGCTGTAGACATCTACATTCTGGTAAAGGGTAAGTGTAGACAGAAGTTTTTCGGTTGATTTTTCTAACTCGAGGGACCATGATCCCTTTGCGATCACTTTCAGCGAGCATGTCATCCATCTGGTCCTTGAGAGCATTCCAACTGCAAAGATTGCATAGCCTAAGCTTCCATATTGAAATGAATACATCCACAAGACAACTATGCTTGAATATAACATTCAGACAAGGATGGAAAACAAATCCGGTAACAAACTCATTGGCAATATAATTCTGACATATAAACAATCAGTGATGGCATTTGGGACTTGGATACAGATCAGGACAGCTTGTCATGTTCGGTTTTGATAAGAGAGATGCGGAGGATTACATCAAGATTAACAACTTATGCCCTTTTATCAAACAATGTTTATCTTAAGCATATCTCATTGACATATCAAATTATTTTAAATATATGTAAGAACATACATGATATAAGCGATAGTAACTTATTCAACAATGAGTTTTGTAATACATGTAACTGATAAAAAAAATTATAAAGCAGTGTAGCAATATCCACATATGACATTGGTGTAATTTGATCCGTCCTAATATATATGTATAATTTTAAAGTCTGTTTTATATGAGAAAGGACATACAAATTATGATTTGGTACACTTAAGCACATATTTCAATTTGTAGATTATCACGTAACATTAAAATATTTATTTGATAAACTTCAATAACAATTTTAGAAAAATTATTCTAAATGCAAAGAAAAAAGTTTAGTTCTGTTGATATTTGTAAATATATATATATATAAAATGTTAAGAATATTTGTATATAGAATAGTCCCACATCGACTATATTATGTAATTAGGTGTAATCTATTTATATATAATAATGTCTCCGTAGTACTTTTCAAAACACACGGTTTATTCATGTCTCTTAGTCTCTTGTATTTCAACATGGTATCAAGAGCCTCGTTTAAGATCCGGTGGGCCACCTTCTATGGTTTCCGCTATCGGGCCACCCACCATTTATTTCCACGCTTCAGTTGTCCAGTCCTGAGCGTGAGGGGGTGTGTTAAGAGTCCCACATCGGACAATATATGGCATGAACATGTGTTTATAAGTGGGGGCAATCCTCACTCTACCAACCGGTTTTGTAGGGTTGAGTTAGGCCCAACCACACTTATTAACAAGAGACAATTCTTTCTTCGCCGTATTTTACCCGGTTGACCTACTGTCTTCCGGTGAAAAAAAAAAATTTTTTTTGCAAACCGTGTTGTCACTCCGGTTTGCCTCTCACTTTTCAAAATTCGCCCGTAACCGCCTTGCCGCCACCGATTACCGATTTTCCCGATCCGTTTCCCGCTGCTGCCCCAGACCCCCTTTTTCCCGCTGCTGCCCCCAGCGCGACCGGCGGCTGATTCCGACCGTTTTTCTGCTGATCTACTCACCTCTCCTCACCCATTCCAGATCCGGCCTCTGTTTTACTTTCCGACTCACGGAAAACGGTGCTCCAGTGCAAGCAACCCCGATTGTTTGTGTCATTAAGCTATGGGAGACTCGTTTACTAAAGTTCCTCTTATCCCATGTGAAAAATTGACCGGATCAACAAACTATAATATATGGGCGCGTGCTGTCGATATGTGGTTTCGTGGTCAGGGATATGAAGATCACCTAACCACACAATTGACTAATGTTGCCTCCGACAAACTTGCTAAATGGAAGAAAACAGATGCCTCTCTCCTTACCGTGTTATGGTTCTCCATAGCACCTAACCTCCAAGCACAGTATCAAGCCTTCTCCACTTGCTATGAAGTTTGGGAAAAGGCCAAGAAAGTTTTCTCCAATGACGTTCATTGTCTATACAGTGTCATCCTCAAACTCGACACACTAAAGATGGAAAATATGGATATGCAAACCTATCTGAGTAACCTTGATGCTTTGAAAGCAAGTTACGCAACCCTCATGCCGTACGCAAAAGACGCAACAGCTCATGCCGAACAACAGAGTAAATTTTTCATGGTGATGGCACTTAAAGGACTACCATCCGAACTCGACTCCGTTCGTAACCAGATTTTATCAGGTACTACTGTTCCTAACTATGATGCAGTTAGTGAACAACTGTTGCGCTTGGCTACACCTCATGCGTTTGGTCCGGTTTCCCCTCCATCACCAGAGTCGTCCTCGAGGAGGGTCATCCAACTCCAAACCTCGTCCCAAGTGTAACCATTGTAACCGGCTTGGACATACTATCGACCGTTGTTGGAAGCTACATGGCAAACCCCCACGCCAGGTAAATGCAGCTCAAAGTGATAACTCAGAAACTATGCAGACTTCACCTTCTATTCAGAACCCTACGCCAAGCTACGAAGATTTTCTCAGATGGTGTCAGACTAATCAGATCTCTCGTTCCACTGCTTCGGTTGCACACTGGTAATTCATCTGTTTGCTTCTCTCAATCATCTCCTCTTGGTCCTTGGGTCCTTGACTCTGGTGCGTCTGATCATGTTACTGGTAATAAAGGTCTTTTTTCCTCCATCTCTACCTCTGGTTTCTTGCCTATTATAACTGCAGCAAATGGTTCTCAAACCCGATCCCAAGGGATTGGTACTGTTCAAATTTTACCGTCTCTCTCTGTTACTTCTGTCCTTTATGTACCTAATTGCCCATTTAATTTACTGTCAGTCAGTCGTTTAACTCGTTCCCTTAATTGTTCTATCACCTTTACTAATAGTAATGTTACTCTGCAGGATCGGAGTTCGGGACAGACGATTGGCGTCGGATGTGAGTCTCAAGGCCTCTACTACCTCTCTACGTCATCTACCACATGCTCCACCAGAGATTCTCCACTCATTATACATGCGCAGTTAGGTCATCCAGGTCTTCCCAAGCTACAAAAGTTGGTGCCCAGTTTATCTAAATTATCCACTTTACATTGTGAGTCTTGTCAGTTAGGGAAACATACTCGTAGTCACTTTTCCGATCGAGTCAATAAACGGGCTGCGTCCCCTTTTGCTTTAGTCCACTCCGATGTTTGGGGTCCCTCACGTACCGTGTCTACTTTTGAGTCTAGGTATTTTGTAACCTTTATTGATGATTTTTCACGTTGCACATGGTTATTTTTAATGAAGAACAGGTCTGAATTGTTTTCTATTTTTGAACAATTTTATCGAGAAATAAGAACCCAATTTGGTTTATCTATTCGTACCCTAAGAAGTGACAATGCACGTGAATATTTATCCCAACAATTTCAAACATTTATGTCATCCAATGGTATTTTGCACCAAACATCTTGCCCTCATACACCCCAACAAAATGGGGTAGCCGAACGCAAAAATCGGCACCTCGTAGAAACCACTCGGACACTACTTCTCCATGGTAATGTTCCTCTCCGGTTTTGGAGAGATGCGGTGCTCACAGCATGTTACCTCATAAATCGCATGCCCTCATCTGTCCTTAATAATAAAATCCCTCATTCAATCCTGTTTCCAAACTCTCCACTCCACCCAATTCCTCCTCGAGTCTTCGGGTCAACGTGTTTTGTACACAATCTCTCCCTTGGTCTTGATAAACTATCAGCTCGATCACTAAAGTGTGTCTTTCTTGGCTATCATCGATCCCAAAAAGGTTATCGTTGCTACTCACATACTCTACAACGATACCTCGTATCCGCCGATGTTACCTTCTTCGAGTCTGTTCCATATTTCGAATCCAGCCAAGTAACTACAGAACCTCTACGGGAAAGTATTCCCACACCTCTTCCAGAAGTCTCATCTGTCATTATCCCCCATCATTCTAGGGAACCTGACCCACTAGTTACCCCTACGGTTGACCCCCCCACTCGCCCACTTCAAACATATCAGCGTCGTCACCCAAAGTCTGTCGTACCTATCCCTGAAGTTGTACCTGTCCCTGTAGTCGTACCTGTCCCTGAAGTTGTACCTGTCCCTGAGGTCACTACGGACTCTCCTCCGACGCTCTCGCCATTACCGGATTCGATCCTGCAACCTGAGTCTGATCTTCCGATTGCCCTTCGAAAAGGTATACGTCAAACACGAAATCCTTCTCCACATTATATTGATTTATGTTATCATCGTCTTTCCCCTTTGCAGTATACTTGTTTGTCTTCTTTGTCTTCTGTTTCTATTCCTAAAACTCCAGGTGAAGCATTATCTCACCCTGAGTGGAGGCAAGCAATGATTGATGAAATGTGTGCTCTTCAAAGCAGTGGTACCTGGGAACTGGTTCCTCTACCCCATGGAAAATCTTTAGTAGGTTGTCGTTGGCTTTATACAGTGAAGGTTGGTCCAGATGGCAAGATTGATCGATTTAAAGCTCGCTTAGTAGCCAAAGGATACACTCAAATTTTTGGGTTGGATTATGGTGATACCTTTTCACCTATAGCCAAGATGGCATCTGTTAGACTTCTTCTAGCCATTGCAGCCATTCGACATTGGTCTCTTTATCAACTTGACATCAAAAATGCATTCTTACATGGCGATCTTGAAGAGGAAGTATATATGGAGCAACCACCTGGGTTTGTTGCTCAGGGGGAGTCATCGAATATGGTTTGTAGGCTACACAGGTCTCTTTATGGTCTTAAGCAATCTCCGAGAGCTTGGTTTGGCAGATTCAGCACTGTAGTACAACAGTTTGGTATGATCCGTAGTGAAGCTGACCATTCTGTTTTTTATCGTCACTCACCCCAAGGGTGTATTTATCTTATTGTGTATGTAGATGACATTGTCATAACTGGTAGTTATCAGCAGGGAATACTCCAGTTGAAACAACATCTCTCGAAACAATTTCAGACAAAAGATCTTGGTAAACTCCGTTATTTCTTGGGTATTGAAGTAGCCCAATCTAAAGATGGTTTGGTGATTTCTCAGCGGAAATATGCTATGGATATTTTGGAAGAAACAGGTTTGTTAAATGCTAAACCAGCCGATACTCCTATGGATCCAAGTGTTAAATTACTACCCAATCAGGGGGAGCCTCTATCTGACTCAGGAAGGTATAGGAGATTGGTTGGAAAGTTGAATTATCTCACAGTCACTCGTCCGGACATTTCTTTTGCAGTCAGTGTGGTAAGTCAGTTTTTAAATTCCCCTTGTCAGGAACATATGGATGTTGTTATCCGGATTTTGAGATACATCAAATGTGCTCCAGGAAAAGGTCTTGTGTATGAGGATAAAAGACATACCCAGATAATTGGATACTCTGATGCTGATTGGGCAGGGTCACCCATTGATAGACGATCCACCTCTGGGTATTGTGTACTTGTTGGAGGAAACCTTATATCTTGGAAAAGTAAGAAACAAAATGTAGTTGCAAGATCAAGCGCAGAGGCAGAGTATAGGGCGATGGCAATGGCAACATGTGAACTTATTTGGTTAAAACAGTTGCTCAAGGAACTTCAAATTGAAGAAGCAAGACCAATGACACTTATTTGTGATAATCAAGCTGCATTGCACATTGCTTCAAATCCAGTCTTTCATGAGAGGACCAAACATATTGAGATAGACTGTCACTTTGTCAGAGAGAAGATCGAGTCAGGCGACATCGTCACAAGCTTTGTCAACTCTAATGATCAATTGGCAGATGTGTTTACAAAATCCCTACGAAGCCCCAGAACTAACTATATATGTAACAAGCTTGGTGCATTTGACTTATATGCTCAAGCTTGAGGAGGGGTGTTGATATTTGTAAATATATATATATAAAGTGTTAAGAATATTTGTATATAGAATAGTCCCACATCGACTATATTATGTAATTAGGTGTAATCTATTTATATATAATAATGTCTCCGTAGTGCTTTTCAAAACACACGGTTTATTCATGTCTCTTAGTCTCTTGTATTTCAACAAGTTCTAATGAGCAAAACAAGTCAAGCTCAAACTTTTCTCTTTTTAATAAGTCAAAACTCCTCTAGTTAGACTTGTTTAAATAAATGAGTCACGCTTGAGCGACCCATTTTATCATAAGACAAATTCAAGTCTTAGGTGCTCGGCTCGATTCATTTACATCCCTAGCTGCATGCATCACTAGACCTTTAACTTTGTAAGCCCTTGTCTGGTTTCCAGGTTCTCCAAGTAGGATTTGAAATTCAGCTACCAGCCATTCTGAAGATTGGCATTCCAAGGGGTGGAATTGAATTACTAAGACAGGATTAAAACAAGAAGAAAATAGGAGATTTTGGGATAAAATGAAGATACAAAGAAATCTAGACACTTCGGAAAGCAAATTAGCTAATGTGCTAATATCACATTAAGAACATTGACAAGTAACAATTGGTAGACGGTGTCATGGTGACAAGTGACAACTTTGACTATAATTTCATAATGATTTGGACGAGCAACCTTTGATCTTTCTTGATAGATTTCCAAGTCTTTCAAGGTGATTGAGAACTATTTCTTGGATTTCAATACGCTTTGTTCTTGAACTCTTTTCTTTTATATTGTGTTTTGATGTTTGAGGATCTTGACATTATTGCTATTACTTTTACTAATATTATGCGTTGTTAAGCCCTTTAGACGGGGCAGTGATGAATCCTAATGTATGAATCACGATTGAATCCTAATTCTTGGTAATTGTTCTCTTGGTTGTTTAAATTGGTGACATTTGTTGAGCTTAATATTATTTTAGTTAATGTTTGGTGAATATAGGTAACTAACTGGGGCTATGTCCGGTCTAGTATTTGGTTTCTAATCATTTACTAGGGTGAGCACTTCCAAGTTAGCAACTCCATGGTATCATTTTCTTTGTGAGTGCGTTGTCCAAAGAAAGCTTGTAATTCAGTTTTCTTTCTTAGAACGATTTGTATTGGCGATTGAAGTGAAGATGGAACTCATGAAAAAAAGGATTATCAAGAGGATCACAATAAGGGGGAATTATCTTATGAATACTAGATACATATCTCTAACTAAATTTTTATTAAAATTCTAAGACAACTAAAATGATAAATAGATTATAGAATAAAAATTAATATTCTCCAAAATCCATCAAAATATTTTAGTGGAGCATGGTGTCCCTATAAATGGAGCAAGGAAGAGAGAGGGAGAGTATACCTGATACTTGTGTTTTCAAACAGAACAACAAGTTTGCGTTTATCAGGAATAATGGTCTTGGCATGCCCATCATATAGGAATCTTCTATGGCCCATTAGAAAATGAGGAAAGTTACCACCTTGAGTTGTAACAAAAACCTCACTAGACAAGCATACTGTGTAGTCCAGTGCTGCCAATTGGGAGGAATAGCCCTGAAAAATGATGAAACTAAGCATAAGAGCCTATTGGAAAGTCTAAGAAAATATTAAGGCATCACTTCAAGAAAGAATCACTAAACCTGTCCATTAAAAAATTTGTAATTTAATCTACAAAAAACTATGAGAATGAATGAGGGATGAAGAGAGAACCAAAGTATAAAGTCAAATACATCCTTTTTATTTTGGAATTGAAAGCTAATTACATCCTTGATTATAATAATCATGTTTTCTGCCCAGTAATGCAATCTTCGTATTGGTGCATAAACTATAACTATTAGTCACAACAAGAATAAAAAAACATCTATCTATAACTATTACAAATAAGAACAAATCAATTGCAGCAGTGGAGCTACAGATAAGAAGCTTTTACTGAACAATCTAGTAAACATGCTTCCATATATTGGCTAATAAGCTAAGAAAGAGAAACTAAAATAAATATAAGCTGAAGAGCTTTGAAGCCATCGCGTTCCATAGAATGAAGCATGAAACCTATTTTATTGTTTAACCAGTAAAAAACTTTACCATAAAAGGAGCAAGCTCGTCTGGTGTTGCAAGAGACTCCTTAGTATACAGATTTGGAAACATCTTTATTAAAGGAGTCAAATATTTTTCGGCATTATATATTTTTCCAGAAGCTAAATATATTGAGGTATTGTTATTGAACCCCATGCCACGTAGCATCATCCCAACCTACATAGTTGTAGAAAATAAAAGGCAATAAACTTTTAAGGAAAAGAATGGCAGTATCCCATTAAGAAGTCAATAACGTAAGGACACAAGACTGGCAAGATTTTCTATTAAGGAAAAAAGAAAGAATTCAACATCTGAAAAGCACCGGCAAGCAAATAAATACCTCAAGGGGGGTATTTCATATAGAAGCCAATAACTTGAGAACATTTAAGACTGGCAAGATTTTAGATTTAAGGAAAAAAAAATAAGAATTTAAGATCTGAAAAGCACTATCAAGCAAATAAATACCTCTAGGGGGGTAAGTGGGCATTTTCCATTGACTCGATAGAGATCAGGTACAATGATACGATCTTTTCTTTTGAACTTTCCTCTCCACCCCTTTTCACGAGCTGAATCCATTTCCAACTTCTCTGCCTTTCCTCCATCATATTCACAGCACGAGAATGCTACCATGTCCTGCATGTTAGAATATTTAGTCAATCATTACATAATGCACATCTAATCCTGTATGTGTATTTTTGACAACTAGAGGTAAATATAACCAAACCTAGTTCTCAATATAGAATGAGCATGGTACCTCCTCAAAGCGAAGATGCACAGCAATGTATTTTCCATCTGTCCTTGAGCTCTTCTTAATCATTCGGTAAACCAGATTCTCAGCTAGTGCTGATATTGAAGAACAAAACCTCAATGCTTTATAATTAGTAAGACATCTTAGAAATTGAATATGTGGAGGGACACTCATTGCCAAGCGATTAGCAAATGGAGCTATTCGAAGAACCCTGCATATGTTTGCCAAAAATAGAGTTCCTTACTTTCATCTTTGCATAAAAATCCAGCTGTGCCAACTGGCCAATGTGGATTCACAGTACATGTTCACCTCAAACCCAATACAGAGAATAAAAAATGAGGGCAAAGTGGTTCAATACCTACCCTTCCTTTTGCAAGATAGGATAAACAGCTCCCGTGTAATAACTGACTGGAGCCCAAGCTTGAACTTTGATGGTAGTTATATTACTCATATTGTAATTATGTTTCTCCATTATTGCCTCAGGAAGTTCTTTAACTACCTTCACATAACCATCAAGTATGGAAATAAAATGATCCTCATCATATATATCCCCAAATTCACTGTACACAAAAGCATATTATTTTAAATAGATAATGAATGCATAAATGAAATCAGGCATAAAAATAAGACTATTAGGCCTTAAAATGTTCGCTATATGGCATATATAATTATTTGTATGGGCGGTTCTACCAAAAGGAACACACACCAAACATTGTATGAATTCATATCCACTAGTCTGAGACAAATTTTAGTCAAGTAATGCTAGATAAACCACATCACAAAGGTAAGACAGAAAGTGTTAATTAATGAAAGCCAACAAAGTATATAGCAGGAGAAGCTTCCTCTGGTCATAGGTTTGTATGATGTGTAATTAATAATGCGCTATTTAAAACATAAAAAACGAAGTTGATATGTCACTGTTTATGGGAAAACGATTAAATTAAATAACTTATTGGAACATGTTTAACTCAAATATTAATGTGCAACAAAAGAAGTTATGAGTGAAATTTTCTGGCACATGCAATACATGATGTGGAATCTGATGTTCCACCATCAGTGTACAAGGTCATGACAGATGTTGTAACATCGGCAGACTAACAGAACAATTTATCCAACCATTTAAATTGTGCAGAATTTTAAATGCTTACAACCTCTCACTTAATCCCTACCCAGTGCAACTTCTACCTAGAAACTCCTAGATATGAGAAATCACCATCTGACTCCCAATCACCACAGTGATAAACAAACACTCTCAGTCCCAAAAAATGCCACAAGAAACCAAGAAGAAAGATGTACCCTTTTTCTTTCAAGAGCAACACTAGGTTAAGACTCTTGACCAAGAGCAATACTCGGTTTTGCTTAAAAGTTTCAACCAAGAACAATACTCAACTCCTATGCTTAAAAGCTTCAGAGTGAGAATAATATACAACCTAAATATGTCTACCACGATGCATCAAAAAACACAAAGGGTGACTTACAAAGTCACACACAAGAGACTCTCAAAACTTAAATTTCTAAAACTTCCCATAACTTTTACAAAAGTGAAAAACCCTTTATTACATTAGGTTAGGATTCCCTTTTAAATACATCTCTACAGACTATGGGCTTTGAAATCTGCGTCCAGAGGTTTCTTGATCCACAAGTTGAGTGATGCACCAAAATCTCCTTAAATCTTGGAACAAAAGATACAAAGTTCCGTAAATCGTCTCAAGGCCCAATTTAGTAACATATGCACCGTTGGAGATACAAAACCTGTTTCAGATACAATCTTCTTGACTTGCAAAATATGTGAGATGATTCCAAAAGAAATCTTCACAAAATCAAAACAAATCTTGTCAAGAATTAAAACGGGCAGAACAGATGTTCTGGTATAATATGTTCCATCATCTGTCAGGACAACTGCGCAACAGAGAACTGAACAACATGTTACAATATCACACACAGCATCCTGCTGTGTACCATGTTTTAGCAAAATTGTTGCCAATGCTAAAACCATAAAACTTACGATGAGAGTTACATGGTATTAAAGTTTTTTCAAGAATATTCTATTTTTGAACTACTATTATTTCATTTCTTTTTGGCATATTATATGAGTTCTCTTACGAACAGATTCAAATCAGTTGTTCCCCTTCCAATCCTTATCCCTCCAAATGAATAATGACAACCTAGAGAAAAATTCCATCTCTTTAATTGAAAAACTTACTCTATTTGCTGCTTTTTCTTGATGAGTTTCATTGTTCAATTAGAAAGATAAGAGAAATCAGCCTCAAACAAAGGCAACACCGACTACCTTGTTTTAAAATTAAAAATATTGTAAACGGACAATGGATGGAAGGAAGGAAAAAAAAAACTCACTTCATAAAGAATTGCTTCAGAAAGCACATTTTTCTTTTGCATAAACAAGAATATACAGAAAACAAACAACTGCTAAATTAAGAAACAAATAAACTCCTTTCTCCCCAACCATGTGTTACTGAGATGTTAAATTAAATGTGGTAATATTTTGCCAAAAACATGCCACTCAGTGACACTTTACCAACAATTTGTGTTGAAAAATTTCTCAGGCCCCATTATTTAGACCTGTCTTTAAAGGCTCAAAGCCAAAGATAATAATAAATAAGCAAATTCGTCACCTTGGATCTTTCCACACATTGTGAAATTCGAAATGAGGTATAACTAGAATTGCATTCAGGAGTCCAGCAACAGCCACAGCATTGCAAATCTACAGAAGACAGAATAAAAAGTAAATTGGTGAAAAAGTAATTCCTATGTCAAATAAAAGAACTGCTGAAATACAGAGAAAGTAAAGACTTAGTCATACTGCAGAGCGTTGCTGATTAAGACCGCCATTGGCCTCGACAATCAAAAAACCATTCAGGCCAGGGGACACTGAAATTAGAGAAAGCACAGTCTTTAGTTAGCATTTCAGTAAAATAACTAAATTAGCAGCTTATCAAGTTATTATCATATAAGGTTACGATCAAATAGGAAAGGGGACAAACTCTCTGCATAAAGTCTATATAAATTGTTTCTAGATTGGAGCTTATGAAAATAATTTTTTTTTTTGTTTTGCAAAGGCCTAATGAAATAAGGTTAAAACAGCTTATGATTCATAAGCTAGTTTCAGAAGGTCTTTCAAATACTTACAAACTCATTTAAACACTCCCTGAATATAGTAAACAAAATCCACAATATTACTATGCCAAATTTCACAATAGAAGCAATATTAAGTCAACCTCAAACAGGTAGGTATGTGAAACAAAAGCAAAGAGAAAATAATTACATAACAGCTTTAGTTTATCTACCAAAATGTTCATGATGCAAAGCAGTCAAATTTGGACAAGGCTTCTTTTCTCTCAACTTCCTTTTGTATTTCCAAACAGAAGACAACTGCAAAATAAATAAATGCGTAAATATAAATCACCTCTGTTTATGGAAAAGAATGATTTCATAATTCATCAGGCAACTATAAGAAGTTAGTACTAAAAACAACATCAACAAAACAACAACAAAAATTCAAATGGCACCAAAGACAAGAGCAAAATTATCCACCAAACAGGATGAAGACGAATTCAGTTCCATATAAATCCAATAAATACCTAACTTTACTTTTCAATTCATGTTAATAATTATCTTCCCTTTGCGCACGTGATTGTTGTACATTATACACACGTTTATTTCACTCACTCACCTCGATGAAAGATGAATTATCAGAATCGATATCATGCCAAAGCTTGTGAAAAACCTCGTGACTCCGGTAACGAGAACCGGGAAGAGGAGCGTGGCCAATGAGAGAGGAGAACGTAAAAGGAAACGGTCCTACGCACATCAAAAGACCGGAGATGTAAACCACCGGAAGCAGAAAGAAGTATCGGAGACTCCTCCGTGACAAAATACCCGCCGACAGTGACTTCGTCCGCCGTAATCGCTTTCGTAAATGCAAAACACCGGAATGACGAGGAGGAGACGGCGGCGGACTCGGTGAGCTGCTGCTTCCACCTCCACCTCCGCCATTGTCGGCCGCATAACCGTTTCCGGTGTGTGACTTTGATTTCATCGCGAGTGAAAGAGAGCGCGAGTGTGATTTGATTGATGTGAGTGGAAATTATGAAAATGATGTGTTAGTGAGGGTTTTGTATTTGTGGTTAATTGTGTGGATGTATAGAGGAATTAGATATTTTAATTTTGTCCTGTTTGGTTGGGCGGAAAAAGATGAGAGAGAGAGAGAATAGTTAAGAGAAGAGGTTTTGGTTTCTTGTTGATGGTGGAGAAGGGACCAGACGGAGAAAGGGAGGAAATTAACGGCACTCACTTTCACTGTACTGTGATATTTCTAATATAACGCCATTGACAAGAACAATCTAAGTATGTCTTTTTAATGTGGTCAAATATTTATAGTTGTACAGACATCAATAAAGATACATCAAGTCAGTTTAATTTATAATTTTACAAATTTAAATCCGCATTAAATCGTCAGTTTGAATTATAATTTTACAAATTTAATCAATTCAATCGACAGCGGTTTAAAAATATCTATAGAAAGACGTGCGGATTCCTTTATTCACGTTTAATAGGTCATCCATTATTTTGTTGGTACAAATACAGTGATAGTAACAATATTTCAGACATACTCATGTGCGAATTATTTCACGGTGCATTTATACTTTTTTTCTGACAGAAGGTAGAGAAAGATGCTAGTATGAGTGAAAATGAGGGAGCATCAATTTCTAAGATAATTCTCTTTATTGTGTCAAAAATTAATTACTCCAGCACATGAGATGTATTTTTAGCCAAACACAGGACAACGCTAGGATTTTACTTTAGGCGTTAAAATGTTTTAAAAGTGGGATTGAAATAAGGACCGACTAATAAGTTGGTTGGTTGGATCTTGATTACTCCTTCTCATTTTTAAGTTGTTATTTTGCATTATAAAATTATTTATTGGCTTAATTACAATTTTGGTCCCCTTATTTTTAGCTTAATTGCAATTTTGGTCCCCTTATTTTGTGTTTTTTAGAGTTTTGATCCCCCATTTTAAAAACCACGATTTTGGTCCCTTTTTTAGGTTTCAAGATTAATATTAGTCCCCTTGTCACTTTAAGTCATTTTTTTAATGAGGTGGCGCTTTGAATGCTGATGTGGCATTTCCATGTCAATTAAAATGATTTTTTTTAATTTAATATAATTTCCATGTCATTAACTTAAATATTATTTCATTTTTACAAATTTAATAAAATAAAATTTAATTATAAACATTATTTCATACCCAGTACCCATTATTTCATTTTGACATTAACGTACAAGGTGATCTTCAAACAACGAACAAGGTGAATCCAGACCTTCAAACAACGATTCATCTTCAAACAACGTAAACAACTCGCTTCAAATCTAAACCTTCATTTTCAAACCGCTTCAGAATCCAGTTCATCTTCAAACCGCAGTTCTATATCATTGTAACCTTCATTTTCATCTTCTTCCCATTGTAACCCAAACCTTCATTTTCATCTTCTTCCCGTTGTAACCCAAACCCAATTCTATATCAAACCGCAGTTCGCTTCAAATCAAACTGCAGCTCGCTTCCCGTCGTCTCTGAAATGGCAAATCGAAGTTACGTGTCAAGGTATGTTTCGTGACTCACCTCTGAATACAAAAACCCTAAACATGCAAATGGCGTTTGTGTTCTATCATAGCATATGAATTGTTAATACCAACTCCCGGTTTTATATATGGTTTAATTCAGCTGCTGTTTTTTTTTTTTTGTAGGCCCTCTGATACGGAAGCTGTCAGATTTAGAGTACACCATAGGGGACATTTAATTCAGAATCCAGTTATGTTGTATGTTGATGGGGTTGTAAGTGAAATGAATTGGGATTGGGATGTGGACTTGATGTCCTACATGCAAATTGAAGATTTGATCAAGAGTGAGGGGTATCGTAATATAAAGTGTTTATGGTATTGGAATCTTAATTTTTCCTTTTCTCGTGGACTTCGGCCTCTTAACAATGACAATGATGTCTTAAGGTTAATGGAGGATGTTAGAGGATTTAAGGTAGTTGATCTTTATGTTGAACACAAAGTTGAAGAAATAAGTATTGAGGATGTTATTTTTGAGGAGGATAATGGTGAAAAAGGCAATGGTGAAGGAGCAAATGATGAAGAGGTTAATGTTGAGGAGGATAATGGTGAAAAAGGCAATGGTGAAGGAGAAAATGATGAAGAGGTTAATGTTGAGGAGGATAATGGTGACAAAGGCAATGGTGAAGGAACAAATGATGAAGAGGTTAATGTTGAGGAGGATAATGATGTTAGAGTTGATGAAGAGGTTAGAATTGATGACGTAGATGACGAGAGTGAAACAGATCCAGATTATAGCATGGGCAGTGAGGATGACGAGGATGAAGATTTGGAAGATGAAATTGATGTGATGAATTTAGGTGTTGATGCTAGTATAAATTGGAAGACCGTTTTACCTAATGCAGAAAAACCTTCAAAGTTGGATGATAATTCCGATAATGGTAGTGATTCAGATGTGCTTCAAACTCCACCCGGTAGTGATGCTGAAGGTGATACGACAAAGTTTCTAATCTTTAGGGAACCCACACAACTTGAAGTAGGGATGATGTTCAAGGATAAACAACAAATCAAAGATGCCATAAAGGAGTATGCTATGGAGAACAAGAAGAATCTTGTATTTAAGAAAAATGACAAGAAGAGAATGGTTATCAAGTGTGTAGATGGTTGTCCATTTCATATTAGGTTTAGCATGAGGACTACCAATCAATATTGGCAACTTGTTAGCTTGACTGATTGTCATGGCTGTCATAGGACAGCCAAAAATAGACAAGCAAAAATGGATTGGTTGGGTCGCCAATTTGTGTACACCATAAGACACACTCCTGAAATAAAAACCAAAGGGCTGATTGCAGAAGCTATTAAGAAGTGGGGGGTGAAGTTGTCAAAGGATCAAGCTTATAGAGCCAAGAAAAAGGCAATGGAATTAATTCAAGGTGCTGGTCGTGAACAATTCACACACCTTAGAAGCTATGGTGAGGAGTTGTTAAAGTCAAATCCAAACTCCACTGTTAAAATTAAGTGTGCTGATTCAGATGGTGGTCCTGTCTTTGAAAGAATATATGTATGCTTAGAAGCTTGTAAGGCAGCGTTTGCAACGACGTGTAGGCCTCTAATAGGACTGGATGCTTGTTTTCTTAAAGGGGACTTTGGAGGTCAGTTAATAGGTGTTGTTGGTAAGGATGGAAATAACAAGATTTATCCAATCGCTTATGCCGTAGTGGAAGCTGAAACGAAAGACTCATGGAAATGGTTCCTTAATTTGTTATTAGAAGACTTACAATCTATACAAGACAACAAATATGGATTTATATCAGATCAACAGAAGGTTAATTATAACTGTTATATACAATGCTAAGACTGTTAATTATACAATGCTGATTTGATATATGTTGTTGTTGCTGCTGTTAACTTCATATATGTTGCTGCTGTTATTAATTTGATATATGCTGCTGTTGCTATTAACTTGATATATGCTGCTGTTATAACTTGATATAATTTGATATATTTTAACAATGTTGTTGCTGTTATAACTTAATATATGCTGCTGTTATAACAATGTTGGTGTGGTACTTATAATTTGATATATGTTGGTGTGGTGCTTATAACAATGTTGGTGTGGTGCTTATAACAATGATACATGTTGTTGTTAACAATGCTATATGTTAACAATGTTATTATAACTTGATATAACTTGATAATGCTATATAATTTGATACATGTTGCTGTTAACAATGCTATATAATTTGATATATAATTATAACAATGATACATGCTGCTGTTATAATTTGATCAAGTTATATAATTATAACAATGATACATGTTGTTGTTATAATTTGATCAAGTTATATAATTATAACAATGCTATATGTTGCTGTTATAACAATGATACATGCTGCTGTTAACGATGCTATATGTTAACAATGTTGTTATAACAATGTTGGTGTGGTACTTATAATTTGATATATGTTGTTGCTGTTATAACTGTTATATACTGATATATACTGTTATTTCAGGGATTGGTACCGGCTATTCTTGAGACAAGCCAACATGTTGAACACAGACTATGTGTTAAACACTTGTATGGCAATTGGAGAAAGAAATATCCGGGGATATTTATGAAGGAGGCTTTATGGCGGGCAGCTAGAGCCACAACAATTCCTGCATGGGAAAGAGCAATGAATCATATGAAAGAGCTCAATGTCAATGCTTGGAAAGACATGATGGATGTCCCAGCTGCATGTTGGACTCGGTCTCATTTCAAAACAGACACACAATGTGATTTGCAAGTCAACAATATGTGTGAGGCTTTTAATCGTGCAATCTTGGAGTATGGAGATAAGCTGATCATTTCACTACTTGAAGGAATCAAACATTACATAACAGTGAGAATATCTGCTCAAAAGGAGAAATTAAGTAGGTACACATGTGTTACAAGTCCTAGCATTCAAAAAGTCTTGGAAAAAACAAAGAGGGCAGCAGAAGGATGGATTGCAACATGGCATGCAGATGATGACTTTGCAATATTCGGAGTTTCAAACGGTGTTGAGACATATGTTGTGAACTTGCTTCAACAGAAATGTGGTTGTAGGAAGTGGGATTTAAGTGGAATACCATGTTGTCATGCTATTGCATGCATATGGTATAACAAGAAGGAGCCCGAAGATTACGTTTCATCATTCTATAGGTATCACCTACTCGTATATTATGTTCATTTACATTCATAGGTATCACCTACTCGTATATTATATTTTGTACGTTAACTAAAATCATTGTGTCATATTGTCTAGGAAATCTACTGTTCTGGCTACTTATAGCCATATCATCATGCCAACCAATGGCCCACAACTATGGCCTGTTAATGTTGCTAACCGAATCAGCCCTCCAATCATGCGAAGATCTACCGGTCGTCCTAAGAAGAATCGTAACAAGGCGAATGATGAACCGAGGATAAGAAATACACTGCCTAGAACTCTTCAAACTGTC